CGCACAGCCCTCTCCCAACCCCCACCCCCCCTCCCCCCGCCTCCCCCACTAGACTGAAAATCTTAAGTCAACAAGTAATCTCTGAAATCAGATGCTCTGATCTGGTCAAACTGTCTCCTTGGAAAAGTACTGACATTAACACGTCATTACACAGGGCTTTTGGTATTTTAGGTTTAGAAACACAAAGAAGGCAGTGATGCAATGCTCCCCTCTCCTATAGGGGGTGCTCTAGATTCAGTTTTATGCTGTGGTTCATGATTTCAGTGCACAAGCTTGGTTCCTGTTGGAACAACGATCCTTTGAAAGATGGTTCATTTTTACTTTGCCTACATTATGTAAATAGTCAGGTGAAAAAAATAGAAATGAAAAAATTATTATTATTTTTGGGGAGGGTTCTTATGTAGGACTACAGTATGATATATAACTGTGGCAACTACATACAGTATGCTATTGTACAACAACCCTGGAAATAAAAATGTGCTAAATGTTAGCATTAGCACCTGAAACAACCACTCCCAAAAACCCACATCCACAAAGGTGTGGCACCTGCTATTTTAATTAAATCACTTCAGGACATTGTCTCAAATAACAAAAATAAACAAGGTTAGTATAGTATTAGTAAAACAATTTATATTATTATTTTTACAAATGTGTTTAAAACAGAGAATAGTATGTACACACTGTGCAGCTAATAAACCCTATTTACCTTTTCCTGGTTTGACCACATCACGTTCCCGGAGGTCCGTTCTGCTCTGCCATTGGTCAGAGCAGAGCAGAGTGGGTTGGAGGAAGCACACCTTAGTTACACGGTTATCCATTAACTAGTTCTGCTTCAAAAGAAATTCAAAGCAGATCCAGTTCAACCTTTGCACAACACTTCACTGGATAGACAGACAAAGACTGGGGTTTCCACTAATGGTCTTTTTATTGTGAGTTAGACTGGCTGTGGATTCACAGTAGGTAAGAATTTAAAAGCTGTTCTAAAGCGATTTGACTGATTCTAAGTCCAATAACACAGAACACAGTAGAAGATTGTGTTATATTTTTCAGCAATGTTGTAAAAAAAAGACAAAATCTGAGCTGAAAAAAAAGTGTTTAAATGTGTGATACTTGCCTATTTGAACAGGAAGAGGGAGTGACAGGTTTCACAACAGCTTACATGTAAAATACCATTTACTTTACTGCAGGTATTTCATGTTATTAACCAGCAGAGTATTTGCGTATCATGGCTGTAGTTGATGAACTTTTACCTTTCAATGTTGATGATAAATAATTCCGACGTTACAGTCGTGTTATGAGCATTAAGTCAGTGGTTGAGTAAAAGTAATGACACACCGAGCGATCCTTGTTCTTCACGCTGTTGTCACATGCCCACATGATGACACAGGACACTGGGTGTTTTCACCCAAAACATAAACATTAACGGCAATAATATGTCACTGTTCAAAGGTCAATCTTGTTTCTCTATTTCCTCAAAAGTCCAAAAACGAGACTTTGACAGTGTTTAACTTTTCAGATTTAATTTTTTATATATAATTTTAGAATATTAACATGTTAAACCAGTTAAAAAAACGAAACTGTCTGTGCAATCTCTGTAAGCAGCACAGCTGATGCCTTTGTGTCACAGTGAACAGAGGATGGAACAGAGAAAAATTATGAGGGATTTTTTTGTTCTCTCCACCTATTTTTCTTTTGCATTTGATAGTATATAACCTAATTAAAATTGTATTGAGGGAGAAACTAGAAAAAAAACAATGGCTCAACATCTGAGCGTTATCTGTAAGTTATGAAATGAAATATAGCATATAAACTAGAAAAGTTGTATTTTCTTTTTGTTTTTTAGCTACTTGTTTTTTGTTTTTTTGTTGTTGTTTTTGTTTTTTTAAAGGCTACTATACTACTCGAAGCTGCACTTTCTCTGTTGACACTTCTATTATTCTATTATATTATTCAGAGTTAAACAATCCTGCAGCAGACTCTGCTAACACGCTGCTCCGTCAGACCAAACATAC